ACATGTTAAAACACTCACTGGTGCAATTACACAAAGTCTAGAACTGGATCCCAAATGCCATATTGAAGGTTAGTGATAGATAGGTACTTGCTAAATCATTCCTCTACTTTTGTATGAACTTGAAAATCTATAACACCAAACTTTAAATACTAAAAGCTTATACTATATAAGAACATATGTTTATTATCTGAAGCTAAGAATATATCAAAGGAAAAAAAGTGTCTATATTAAACACTTTAGAAAAACTAACCTAATGTTTGTCAAAATGAGGTTTTAATTGGTTATCTGAATGTAAACTAAACCTCTATATATCCAAGTATGTTAATAAAATATTTAAGCACAACAATTTATAGTTGTGGTTTTGCTCACCTGTTAAGAAATATTATATAGTGAAAAGGACTATCCACCAATCCCCATTTTAGTCTTCCCTCGACTGAGGGCCAGCACCCCAGCTGCCATCAACCTGGCCTAACCTGGGGACCCCCCACCCTTCCGCCAGCCCCAGTCACCTGCCAGTGAGCCCTATGCCTCATCTATGTGGGAAAAGCCTCACTTGTCCTTCCGATTTACAACTCTTTACAGTCCAACTTGACTCTCCTAGATAGACTTAAGGTGTCTCAATACCTGCTATTAAATACCCATATGTCAATCATAGTATGCACTATCAAATATAATTACTGGAATTATCTCCTCCTCCCTTAGAAAAGAGCAGGAGCATCACTTGGGCTGAATTAATGGAAAGGGATGTCAAGCAGACATCCACGAGAGGGCGCCAAAAATCAGCAATCAGAGACCAGAAATGAACCAGACCCAAGGGATCAGGTTAGAAAGGAAGGAAAACTGAAATTAAGAAATTGAGAAAAGGGCATTAATGTGGGCAGGATGTTAGCTAGAAGGAGATAGTCAAGAGTAAACTTCAGAAACACTGGCAGAGCAGAGTCACGCTTTCCTAAAGTAGCTCTGGTGCAAGGGAATACCAGCCTATTAGACAGAATATAGGATAATGAGACACTCCACTCCCTGGCCAGTGATGGTCATCTAATTGAAGGTAGAGGTATGAATTCCTCTCTCAGACAAGGGCATCTGGGGCTTTGGTTCAGCTACAATTCCAGGGCCAGGAATAATAGGAAGCAAATCTGTGGGGTAAGCCAGACATCCAGGATGAGAGGACAGTAAATGATGCCCATGGCTCCGAGCGAGAATGAGGCGCCAAGGCAGCTCAAAGCAGTCAGCCATTCAACAAACACATTCAGAATGTTCTTTGTGGCCAGCCCTGTGCCCAGAAACTGGACGCTCAAGCTGAATGAAGACTTTTGAGCAAGTCATAGCAACAGATTTGGTGCGGATATGACTGATGGCTTTAAGTTTTCAGAGGACTGCCTCACAGGCGTAGTGACAATGGACTGACCATCGTTTTACTTCACAGGAAGCAATGGTGTGGTATGCTAGGGTCAATGATTGACAGGTGAATGAGATGCTATTTGGGTCGTCACCGAAGCCTTGTTAAGAGGTTATGTAATAAAGGAAGAGGCTTGGGGGACAACAAGGGCACTGGAGGCCTGGCAGCACTGTGATCTTCTCACTGGCCACCCAGCGTGGGTGTGCTGGGCCACCTGCTCCCGGCTTTCCTTCAAACTGAGAAGTTGCCTTTCCTCCCCATGGGGAGAATCGCCTGGGGAAGTTCAGCCAGGGTCAAGGAGGCTTGTTTTCTCTTCCTCTTCCAGGGCTTTATTCTCCAAACCGAGTTGTCCTGCCAAACAGTAGGAAATGCTCATTGTCTTTCTGCACTTCAGTTTCCCTAACGCAAGCGCCATCTCAGGGGCTGTGCCGAAGCCACACTTAAACTTCACGTAGGTATTTGTTTTTTCCTGGAATGGTGGTGGGATCAAGGCCTGAATCTATGAAACAGTTTGTGAGAAGTTCTAGAAGCTTAAGGTAGCTCTTGGTGGATGGCGTTGGTTTAAGTTGAAGCCAACCACTAATTCAGCCCTGCTATTCTCTAAGGACTGCAAACTTGTTGAAACTTTACTACAAAAAACAAACAAACAAACAAAAAACAAATGGTTCAGGGTTGAAACTCTCAGATGAAGAACACATGTCCTGTTAATGATCCTGGATCACAGTCTGACCTGAGTCTAGTAGCAGTACCTCAGACATGAAAGTATATTAAAATAAGGCTTCGGGGCTGTAGAAATGGCTCGGCAGTTGGGAGCATTTGTTGCTCTTTCAGAGGACCTGGGATCGATTTCCAGCATCCTAGTTTGGTAGCTCACAGTCATCCTTAACTCCAGCTCCAGAGCATCCAACTTCCCCTTCTAACCTCTGGAGGCACTTGCACACAGGTGCCCATGCACACGCATCACACACACTAACACACACAAGCACACACACTAACACACACACTAACATACATTTTTAATTTTTTTTAAATAGGGCTTCTAAAGTATCAATTCTAGTTGTTTCTTTAGGCAACTGAAACTGTAATATATTATTTAAATGCAGAAATATTAGTTGCCAAAGGAGTCATTCTGAGAAAAATGGTATCTAGACAGAAAGTCAGATAAAATCATGGAATTATAAATCAATACAGTGCCGGGCGTTGGTGGCGCATGCCTTTAATCCCAGTACTCTGGAGGCAGAGGCAGGTGGATCTCTGTGAATTCGAGGCCAGCATGGTCTACAAGAGCTAGTTCCAAGACAGCCTCCAAAGCCACAAAGAAACCCTGTCTCGAAAAACCAAAATGTCGCACCTGCTGTGCGGCCTGCATCCGAGAATGTAGCGAGGTGGTCGGGATAGATGACACAGAGACCGGTCGGTTGCTTTAAGAAAACTTTATGCTTCCCAAGTCAGCTTAGGAGGAGACCCCAGTCCGCTTAGGAGAGCTCTCAGGAGAAGTCTCTGGCGAAATCTCTGGAGAAGTCTCTCCAAGAAAAAAGAGCTTCCCTTTTTAAGGACTTTTGCTATCCATTTACATACCATTCTTTCCACTTCTCACCCTCCTGGCTGGTGGTTTAATCTCCGGCCCCAGAATCGGGGAGACACCACAGGGGGCAGGGACAGGAAGAGGCATCTAGCCGTAGGGGGTGTGAAAGGGATGGTATTTCAGTGAGCCAGCCCTTATCTGAGCCCTATCAACCTTTAAAGCACTGAATTGTTTTCAGTAAACATTACATAGATGCCTGCTCCCAGGCCGAAGGGGAAGTGGGTTTCTGCTCAAGGTCTGGTGTCCCCACACCAAAAAATAAAAAAATAAATCAATACAGCCCTCTTATTTTCCAAATGAGGGCAGTATTGGCAAACAGTGACAAAACTCAACCTGTAAGGGGCTAAAAGTGCGTATCCTCTGTTCTCCGTTGCTCAATGATGTATTTACATAAAATCCGATACCATTGTGCCTCCTCCCTGCTATCTTCATATTTGTTTCTTTGTATTTATCCAGATTCCCTGTTGGGCTCTACTGAAGGGCCTGTCTGTCTGGATTGCCTTAAGCATCACCTACTTTGTTTTAGTTTATTGTATTTGACCTTTATGTTCAACTTGAGCATAGCAGCAAGGCTTTTGGGATTCTCTGAGAATTTTCTTTGCATTAGCGACCTTAGCTCTTCCTTGGACCTTCTTTCTCCTCAGTTACGGTGGGTTTCATCTTTTAGACCCTATTTTCACTTAAGTATGGAGTTGTGCTCAACCTCTTCTTGTCACCTTGGGAAACCTTCACGTTTGTAAGAGTTTTAACACAACTCGTATTTAAGAAGAGAAGAGGCATAGTTGGATAGCTGTGAGGACTTTGCTAAAATGAGTAGTGCTTCTGAGAAAAGCTTAGGAACCAAGCATTCTCCACCTGTGAGTACTTGGTTAGTCTGAAAGACAGCTACCGCCTCTAAATTCTGCCTTCAAGGTGTTCAATCCTAATGTCTTTATACCAAGAGAATGAATGGTCATCCCCTTGGATTAGGGCTGGTGATATTTTCCTTTTTTATTAGTATACATGAATTACACAAAGGGACTTGATGGTATTTCACCTATGCACTTACTGTACTTTAATCATAGGCATATCTTTAGTTACTTATCCTTATGCCCCTCTTCTCTCCTGTTTTCCTTTCCACATCCTAACAGTTCTCCGTTTATTTTCCTGTTCTTTATTCTTCCCTGATACCCCACACATGGGAGAAAACACACAATATTTGTCTTATTTCACTTGACATGACGATCCCTGGTTCCATCCATTTTCCTGCAAATGGCATCACTTCATTCTTCCTTGTGTTTCAGGGCATCTGTTACATATGGACACCACAGTTTCTTCACTTGTCTGTTGGATGAACACCCGGGTGGAACCCCGAGCTCAGCCTTTGTGAACAGTGCAGCAGCTTCTGGAGTATGCAGGTAGCTCTGTTGTATGCTCTTTGGGGAACATGCCCAGAAGTGGTAAATCTGAGTCATGTGGACCACTGCATACTTGAAGATGGTAAACACATGTCAATTGAAGTGTCCAGATGAACACCACCAGCGAAAGTTGAAGGAAGTCAGTAGGCTTTGCTGACTGTAGTATCAAAGAATGAACAGTAAATGAGAATGGTTATGGAATTCCAAATTCAAATTCATCCTGAATTCTTGAGGAGATCATGAAAAGTACATGCTGGTTTCCAACTAGTTCAAGGCACTTACTGCTTTAGAAATGAGACATCATATTTTGTGTCACCAAGCTGTCTTGAGGAAGAAAGGACTTTGGCTCTGCAGGAAATGGTTTGATTACCCTCAGGAATTAAAGGGAAGGGGCAGAAGCAAGTCAGCAGGTAGAAAAGAATTATCGTTATACTGGTATAAAATCTGACTACAAATAGCATTGGCATGTTTTGTATTCAAAACATTATCTTTACAATGGTGAATAAGTATTTTCCAGAATAATTATGGGTCTTACCAAAATACTTCCCTTGTGTGAAACAGATGTGAGCAAGTATATAAACATTGACTCATAATCACTACACTAGAAAAAAAATCCATCCAGTGTCACACATAGCTTTTATTCAGGGCTGGTAATGCCTTCCAGAACTCTTCTTTTATTCTCCACCTCTGCAAACCAATTCTCTTTATGGCTATTGAGTCTGTAAAACCCAGGAATCCACGGCAGCTCAGTTCACAACAAAAGCGACCACCTGACATGCGGGACTGTGTGAAAATACCACAAACCCTCCCGGACTGCGCTAACCTGACTCAACAGTGGACACATTAACGGAATACAATGGTGGGCTTACGGGGTGATTCCAGTTAGCCACTGAACATGAGGTATCTTCTAATTCCTCTGTTGTTTGGAGACTCGTTCAGTTAATTTGCCAGAACACCGAGTGAGCATGAAGCAATGACAAAATGAAGCAATGAAATCATGAGTCAGCTGTCCACCTAAAATAAATGCCATTTAAAAAAATACATATTACTGATTTAGTTTTTATCGTAACAAACAGAACTAGACAAACCTTTTAAACCATAGTAAACAACACAATTCCAGCTTCAAAAAAGGACTGGTCAAGAGTCTTCAAAAATTAAAAAATGCTTCATAAAGGTGAAATCCACTTATTCTACATCATCCCTCCACCAAAGTAAAAAAGTGTTATACATTACTTCTCAAAACAAGATAATTCGAGACTACACTTGCCGACCTTGGTAACACCCTAGAAGGCATTTTGCCTGCCTAACCCCATTTGATACAGGATAAAACTAGAGATCAAGTAAACACAGGCAGAGATCATGTGAGTAAACTTGGATAGACCAGAGGTCACATGACTCCCTCTCCTTTGCTCCTTCCCCACTAGACAGAGTTCACTGCTCTCCTGTCTCCCTTTCTAGTATCTTCTAACCCTCTCCGGATCGTTCCAAGAGACTAACCTATCACCCATTCTCAAAGACTTTGGCTTTTTTAGAAAATAATTAAAGACTTACTTATGATGTATACAGTGTTTTGCCCACATGTATGCCTGCAGGCCTGAAGAGGGCACCATTTCTCAGTTACAGATGGTTGTGAACTACCATGTGGTTGCTGGGAGTTGAACTCAGGCCCTCTGGAAGAGCAGGCTGTGCTCTTATCCACTGACCCATCTCTCCAGCTCCTAGAAAATAATTTTTAACCATAGTGTGGTGGCACATGTCTTTAATCCTAGCACTCAGGAGGCAGAGGTGGGTAAATCGCTGTTGAGTTCAAGGCTGGTCTGGTCTACATAATAAGTTTCAAACCAGCCAGGGCTGTATAGTGAAACCTTGTCTTAAAAAAAAGTCAAGAAAATATATTTTTCTTTTTTTAAAAGATTTAATTATTTATTACATATACAGTATTCTGTCTGCAAATATCCCCACACGCTAAAAGAGGGCACCAGATCCCATTACAGATGGTTGTGAGCCACCCTATGGGTGCTGGGAATTGAACTCAGGGCCTCTGGAAGAGCAGTCAGTCCTCTTAACCTCTGAGCCATCTCTCCATGCCCCAAGAAAAGATATTTTTAAAAATTAGTATGTGGTCTTAACCCAAAATGCAGCCATACCATATTAAGTAGACATAACTTATTGGTTTAGGAAATTCACGGATAAGCAAAAGTTCCTTCTCTTCCAGAGAGTTCCAGGCCTTCCTTGCTGTTTATCTTGTGAGTCTTCAAATGTGCTTATTTCAATCTTGCTCAATTATGACTTCTCTTTTGTTTCTAATCAAAGCATACATTGCAGATACCACGATGAAATGACCACAGTTTGAGATATCTATGTCATAAGCTAATTCCAGAAACAGGGATGCTTTTATGGTAATGAATGGAATCATCACTTCAAAAATTTAAAACATACATTTTAGAAAGTAAAACTGTTTTTTCCCATCAAATCAGAAGGGACTCGAGAATCTGCTCTCATAATTGACTTTCAAGAGATAAAAAGATGTGGAGGAACTAAATCTTAAGATGTCCTTCTATGTAAAATGGTCGGTGAGAGCAGGAGACAGGTATACACTGCCAGGGGCCACTCACACTGCCTCACAGCAGTACCAGCTTCCTTGAGGTGATAGATGTGGTGTTCACCGGGCACTGGCTGCATCCTAGGCTGGGATGTGCCTTTCACGTTGTTTACAACAGCCCTCAAAGATAGAGCCTACTGCAGTGTACCACAGTCAATCTTGTGGGCAGGTTTCTGCTGTCAACCTCACTGTGGCACACTTCCTTTTATTCCTTTGTTTGTTTGGTTGGTTGGTTGCTTTTTGGCTTTTCGAGACAGGGTTTCTCTGTGTAGCTTTGTAGACCAGGCTGGCCTTGAACTCACAGAGATCCGCCTGCCTCTGCCTCCCGAGTGCTGGGATTAAAGGTGTGTGCCGCCAATGCCCTGCGCAACACACTTCCTTAAATTTACCCCAGTCACCTAAATCCCAGTAATCCAAGCGTGAACTATGCTCTCCCCTTCATTCTACAATCCCAGGGAGCTTCATGACTGAAGCCAGAGTTCTGTCTAAATTTCAAAACCATGTCCACTTCCTTTGTTAGAGGAGATGCTGCCTCCTCAAACTTTTAGTTAAATCATGATTTCCTGTTAGGACAGCATTCCCAGTATTTGCCCACCGTCCCCATCCCTTACCACTGGACTCTTTGGCAGAGCACTGCTGAGCTACATGATTTTGAGTGGGAAGAGTAAAGTGGAGAGCCAGACATCCATTGGAGTCAGCATCTCAATCAATGACTAACCTCTAAATATTTTAAAGCACAACCTAATTTGAAACTCCTTTATGCAACCTAGTCCCAAATAAAGTCAGATAGAAGCCCTTATCTCCACCCCCTCACCCCCCAGCCCCGAAGAGGTGTTGCAATGGGAACTTGAAACATTTATCTAGCATTTGGTCAACAGACAAACAGGAATAAAAGACGTCAGAAGGTGCTAAGCCACAAACATGTTCATAACAATAGAGATGTGAGAGGATTGTCCGGAAGCTGATGGTCTCGTTCTCACGGGGAGGGGCCCTCAGAGGATATGCTGCTCTTCATCCATCTTAAGCTAATGTTTACTTTGGTCTGTTTTCACTTCCTCTCCTCTCCCACTTCCTACTAAACATGTCACATTGAACTCCCTTGTCAACATTTAAGGGCCTCATTTAGCAGCTACATTGTGTCTACTTCCTGATGTTACTGAGGGTATCACTGTGTTCACTTTCAAAATAAGTTTGAATTAAACAGTTATTAAACTAAGGTTGTGCCTGAGTTACCCACACCCTTATTCCTCCTCCCAGTCAGTCTCCACACTTTCAAATCAAACCCTGAGAACCACAGGCTGCTCGGTGTGGAACCCTGGCTGCTAGGTGCAATCCTGCACGAGTTTCTCCTTCCGTGACTCCATGAAGACAGAGACAAGATGGCAAAGAACATGCCAATTCCACTCACTATTCCCACATTAGATCTCTCTTTGGATAAACTCTGGAGTGCCCACCTTCTCCTACTTTTGACAATTTCCACCTGTTGTTTGGGATCCTTATTTAAGTCAGATACTGGATATTCTGAATTGACTTTTACTCAGCTTATTTAGTTGTGCCTTTGTTGTTGTTGTTGCTGTTATTTGTGCTTTTGTGGAAAAGAAAGCTTCAATCTCTAAGTTTTCCACAGAATTTTTCACCCTGCTATATTTATAATTTCATATATATATATGAATCTTTCCTATTTTCTTAGTTTTTCTTTCTCTCTAAAAGCTCGGTCTTCATATCCCTGAACCCCACCCCATATCACATTCTTTTGTCTGTAAGGAGGTTGAGATTTTAGCTCCTTTTGAGTCTTATTCCTTGTCTTTGCAGCATCTCTAGTAAAAGCATGAACCTATGGACAGTACTTTGTTCCTGATTGCTTGAGATCTCTTTTGAATGCCAAAAACTTTCTTCAAGTATACAACAGAGAGTGGGATGAAGACTCCAGCCCTCTCCCCTCTACATCCAAAGGCATTGCCGTGTGTCCTTGCATTTCCTGTTAGTAAACAAGCAGAATCCATTTCCTAAACCTCTGAACCAGGGAGACAGTTTATAACTCAGTTTGCTTGGTGCAATTCAACAGATGTAGCAGCGTGCTGATGCTAAGCTCCGGCAGAAAGAAACCTTGTAAGACCGCACATGCTCCCTTTTACCTCTGTCATTCCCATTAACATGTACTTTAGCCTGCTGGTCAGCCAGGAAAACAATGTCCCTGCCATTTTAACTGAGCTCTTCCTAGACTATGAGAAACCCAAAGACCTCTAAACTCAAGAACAATATCAGTCAAGGTCAAACACAGCTATGTGGCAGGCCACCCTAGGCAAGAGAGCAATATAGTCTTTTTATTTATTTATTTTTTATTTAAATTAGCAACAAGCTTGCTTCACCTGTCAATCCCAGCTCCCTCTCCTTCCCCTCCTCCCCTGCCACCACTGTTGTTAAAATGATTAGGTTCCCAGTCAGGGAACCAATGTTGTTAAAATGTCTAGGTTTATCCAGTAACAAGACACAAACCGTGACTAAACGATCCCACGTGGAGTTTTATTGGTAGACAGGGAGGAAAAGGGAGATAAGAGGTAACCAACCCGTGCAGAGCTGAGAGAGACAGAAGACGAGAGTGAAAGAGAGCGTAAGCAGGCAGGAGTCAGTCCTTTAAAGGGGTCCTTGGCACCTGTATGGTTCTCACAGAACTCTGGGCTGGCCTGAGTGCATTCTGCCAGGTAACATGGCAGACCAGTGTAATGCCTCAATCTTTCACCCCCCCCCTCCCTCCCAGCCTCCCACCCAATCCCCACTCCATTCCCCAGGAAGGGTAAGGCCTAGGCCCTCCTCCAAAAGTCCAGGCTGAGAGCATCCCTCATTGTGGGATGGGCACCCAAAGTCCATTTGTATGCCAGGGATAAATACCAATCTACTGCCCAGGGCCCCATATATTGGCCAGGCCTCCTCACTGACAACCACGTTCGGGGGGGTCTGGATCAGTCCCCTGCTGGCCTCCCAGCCATCAGCCGGGTGTCCAAGAGCTCTCCTTGTTCAGGTCAGCTGTTTCTGTGGGTTTCACCAGCCCAGTCTTGAGCCCCCCTGCTCATTGGTCCTCCCTCTCTGCAACTGGGTTCCAGGAGTTCAGTTCAGTGTTCAGCTGTGGGTGTCTGCCTCTGCTTCCATAGTCTTCTTAAGTCCCTGACATTTGTTTTGTTACACAGCAGTATTGTTGCTATTACGACTGATACAGAGGTTATTAATAGCCAATTGTAGAAGGTCATGCAAGCACATGTTAGCCTGTAATGGCTGCTAAAATGGGGGACTGGTCACTACATATGCAGTCAGAACGAGTCTACAAAACAAACAAACAAACCCAAAATGATTATTTCCAGAAGAGGAAAGAGGAAGGGGTGCTAGGTGCACAGAAAATCCTGTATGGTTAGAGTTTGTAAAACATATTCCACAATGCTTAGAACCTAAAATGCACATCAAAACAGTAAATCCTAGAATCATGGTGCTAGACCCAAATAGATAATGATGCACTGTACAATTAAGATCGTCGCCGTTTATTTCAGCAGACATTTGGCTGTCTGTTATGTGATGTGTTGGTCTGTTTAACTGAAAACTGGGACATGAACAATGCTAGTGCTACAGTTATTAATAAGAAATAATAAGAAGACAGACAACCCGGCACATGAATAATTTTGTGTCCTAATGCATGCACGGGTGGTGAGGCAGCATGCAGGAGATCTGGATGTGTTCTGTTGAGCCATCACAATGTGTCAATGGCCAAATCCATGTTTCACTTCATTCTAAGCAAGACTCTGTGGCTGCTTCCCAGCACTGAATCTTTGTTCAGCCTGTCCTTCCAGCCTGTAGCGAACACCTCTCCTTCCTGGCCGCTGTTGCAGAACTCACTCACCACTTCAGACTCAGAGCACTCTGTCTTCCATAGAAAGTACACCCGATAAGTACATCAAAATGCAGACGCGTGCTAAATACAAGTGTCTACAACACCACTCTGGCACTTTAAATGCAACTCATATTACCACCTGTCTATTTCTTTCAATTGTGTGCTTTTTTTTTTCTTTAATGTCTGCCTCCTTTAAGCTTGTTTAGCGATCGCAGAGAACAAATGAAGCCCCAGCTTAGCTCCATCGGAAAACACTTTTGGAGTGTGGACAACGACCCTACACTTCCCACTCTGTCCTCCTACCCTTGTCCTGCCACCCCAGCCCACCCTCATCCTACTTAACCTGAATGCCCAGTCCTCTGAGCTCCCTTCATGACCCAAAAGCCAGGATCCTCCCTGCTTTCCCAGAGCCTCCTGAGCCTTCCAGGTATGCTTTTCCTTTGTAAATATTGTTAGGGCAAAGACTTCAGCAAGCCTTTGATCTACTTAGGAAATCCAAAATCACTCACAGGGAAAACAGAGCCATTACCACTAACTGCATTGTTCTCATTAAAAGCCCACAAGGACTTTGGCAGAAAGGAGAAAAGATTTCAGAGAATGAGTGCTTTCTGCATCATGGTAACCCTTAGCCCAAAGCTCGGTGCCTGCCTCCAACAGATAAAACAGCAAATGGCAGCATCTAAGGAAACAAAGAGAAGAGCTGGAATTTGAAAAATGCCTGCGGGCTAGAGGAGGGATGGTTGGGGAGAAGGGGAAGGCTCTAACGGAGTGCTAAGCATGAACTGAATTTGAACATCGGGCAAAATAGACTGTTTAGAAATCAAGTTTGGATCTCCCATAAAACTGTGATTCACACATTCCTTTCTTAAAGCAAAGGTTTTCCCCAAAGCACCTTAAGGGGAAGAAAAGACCAAGAAAAACAAAAACAAAAGCAAGAACGAAATAGATTTGGTGATGATGGAGTGAAGAGAGAGTAAGGTACAGCCAGCGCATAGTATGCTCTGCGGTTCCGCAGTCATTCTAGAATGTCTCAGAACTAATATATCACCCAGATCTGAAATGCTCGGTAATGGATTGTGTTTTGAAGAAGTGTTTTTAATTAAGTCCAGTGATCTAAGCTTTGATGAGAGGCTGAGAAATCTTAGAGCTTTTATCCTCAATAGCATCTCTCAAACAAATCTGGGATGTATTTCCTATGTAACAGAAAACAATGCATTAGTGGCGTGAATCTTAATAAAGAGCTTTAAGGATCCTGTGTTTATTGAGCCGTTGCTCTGTGTACCTCAGCCGTAATGAAATAATGACTCCATGGGAACTTAATACACTCTGGGAACGATTCTTGAACGCTGTACCCAGGGAGCCTAATAATGTAATTTGAAGAAACTGTGTCTGAGGAACAGGAAAACAACCCAAGTTGTTATCTCTTATTGAGTCTATTTTCTCGAAGAGAATCCTGAGAAAACAAAAGATGTTTTGTTTGAAGTGGGGCTTTTTTTTTTGTCTTCTTCAAGCTTGAGAGGAGAAAACAAAAATCCCTTTGAAGTATTTACAAATTAAACATCTCTGAAGACTATTTCTTCCTTTATATTATCCAAAATATTTAGTAATTCTGTAATGGGATAATTATTTACTTGACATTGATGTATGCTTGGAGGTAGGCATTGCAGAAGACACAAAGGAAATCGACATCACCTGGGAACAATCAGACCAGATGACTTGGGATTTACATTTACATTTCAGCAGAAACCCTGAGATTCCTTGGTGCTTAAAGGCTTGAACAATAGTTTGTTTATACATGGGAACTGCATGGGCCTTGCTTTGTTTTTTAATGTTGTTTTGAGATTCTAATTCCAGAAGTTGTTACTTAATGTATGTGGGGTTTTCCCAAAGAGCCCAGGATTAATTCCAAGGAACATGGTTTCTGAGAACCACCTCCTTGGGTTCGCCGAAGCCAGCCCACCCACCCTTTCCCAGGAAGTGTTGATGCCATTTCCCTTCTCTTGCATCCTCTGCATTGCCTTGCTCCAGAACAAGCAGACACCACTGAAACCGTTTTCCAGGGGCTAGCTTTTGCTCTCTGGTGCAGTTAGTACAATTGTATCTTTAGCCTGATTCTCACTCTTCTTAAAAGGAAAGCACAGGTGCCATCCATAAGAAAAAACTATCAGGAACAAAATTAGTGTTAACCGAAAAGTGTGTTGCCTTTTATGCATTGAACCCCCTTCCCCAGGACACCACTGAAGTCCTTACCCACCCCCTCCAGGACCCCACTGGAGTCCTTATCTAGAACCTCAGAATGTGATCTTACCTGGACATAGACGTAACTGCTGATATAAATAGCCAGGATGATGTCATACCATGGTAGGATGGGCCTTAGCACTAGGTGACCGATCTCACAGGAAACAGCACACCCTATAGACATGGAGGCAGAAGTTGGATCAAGGCATCCGCCAGTCAAGGAACCTGAGGGGTTACCTTCAGCCAGGGAAGGCAGAAGACTAAGTCGGATTCTCCCCTGGAGCCTTCAAAGAAAGCAGGACCCACTGTTACACTGACTGCAAACCCTGAGCTCTACATCTATGAGAGAACAAATGTCTGCTGTTAAAAGCCAGAGGGACCCTGTTAAAAAAAAAAAAGCTAGAGATAACCCAGTATCCCCGATTTTGCTTAAATAGATAGGGAGCTATTAGGATGGGTTTGGGTTTTCTGTGTTACATCTAAGACTCGAAGGCTACATACACCCTGTTTGTAACAACTAAGTTGACTTTGCCCCAGCATTCTCAAATTTGACAATGGCAAATAACAAGGGAGAGGAATTATAAAGGGGAGAAGCAAGGGACTAGAGTTCTGGGAGGACAAAGCACTGGGGTGGGAGGGGATGGGGGCAGCATAAATCCCGAGGACAGAGAAGAGGCTACATAACACAGGGTTTGTTACGAATAAGTAATTTTGTTTTTGTTTTTCAAGACAGGGTTTCTCTGTGGCTTTGGAGGCTATCCTGGAACTAGTTCTTGTAGACCAGGCTGGTCTCGAACTCACAGAGATCCACCTGCCTCTGCCTCCCGAGTGCTGGGATTAAAGGTGTGCGCCACCACCTCCTGGCTGAATAAGTAGTTTTAAACCAGACTGGAAATGTCATATCATGACAGAAGCACATTGTTTTGTGATTATGCCAGTCTATTAAATTCTAGCAAATATGTGCAATTTTAAAGAAGCCATACTATGTTCATGGAGTGAAACTAGTGACAAGTGTTAGGAGCAAGCTGTATCTGAAACAGAGGGACATGCTTGTCTTTCCACAATGTCATTTTATTGGGTAAGAATGAATTAACAAGATACTGCAGCTTCAGTGGCCGGATACTATATATATATATATCCTTATATAGTACCATACGTAGCAAAGGTGTCAACAGGCAAATAACAAATAGTCCTAAAAGACAAGAACTTGACAACTAATAGGATTGCCACTAGTCTGTAGGAGTAAAGCAACTAAACCACAGCTGCAGAAGCTGTTGTGCTTCCGTGGCTCTCTGCTGGGGCTGCTAGAGTTTCTGTGGTTCTCTACCGGAGCTGCTATGGCTGTCTGCTGGGGCTGTCTGCTGTGGCCACTGTGGCTATCTTCTGTGGCTGTCTGCTGGGGCTGTTTGCTGTGACTGCTGTGGCTGCCGTGGTTGCCCGGGCTACTGGGGCTGCTGTGGTTGCTGCTGAGCCATACATTCAGGATGGAGGGTCACTTGAGCAGGTCATAGCAGTAGTTAGACTGAACAGTCAATTCTCTACCCTCAGTGCCCTGATGTACACGCTAGGTGGTCAGGTAGCTGGTTGCTATGTGTCTAGACAACAGTAGGACAGTAGACACTGTCACCTGCACAGTGTTAGGTGTCTAGCTCCTTATGAGGTTGGGATAAAGGAGTTTCATTCTTTCCTTGATCTGGTGTGCCTCTTACATTCTCAGGTCTGGTTTTCCTAATACAATTTTAATATGCCCATATGGCCCTATGTTTTCAATTAATTCTGCTGATATATGTATAAGGGGTACCCTTTCTACTTCTAGGAAGAAATCATTTGTCACTCTGTGTCAAGTAGGTGGTGCCTGATATACGCTGCTGGTCACATGTCCACTCCGGTACGGAATTATCCTCTGTCCCCAAAATGGATTTGACAGCTGTTTGTAAAATGAAGTCTATGGGACAAAGCAGTCAGAAAAGCCATGTTTTGCACAATATGGAGTAACTTGGGGCAGGCACAGCCTAATCTCAACTCAGCAGCTTTCCATGAAGGTTGGTATGAGACTCATAAGGGTCCAGGACTGATGAGGAGCATCCAGTAATCATTACTCACTAATGGAAAGCAGAATACAGAGGACTGAAAACAAACTAGTTCCAGAAGTTTCCTTCAGGCCTCCTCTTTATTAAAAAGTTAATATTTTTATCATTTCTGCTAAATTCTACCTTGACCTTAACCCAGAATAGAAAATGGCAAATAGTTGATCAAAACGACAATGGTAACAGAGGCCAAGTCTTCAGAGGAGAGTATCCGGGAGCTACTGACATGGGCCAGCGCCCTGACAAGCACAACACGCAGGACTCTGGGAGCTCAGCAGTTTCTGTTCAACGCCATAAAAGTATAGAGTAGATCTTAGTACTCTAGCACACTTCAAGGCAAGAAGCCTGATGCCGCGGACATTTATCACGTTTTCAGCTGCTAATCATTCAGAATGCCTTCTGTATAAAGCTGTATATACTCAGGGTCCTGGACCTTCTAATCCAGGATCTAAATCAGCAACGTTTAAACTGAGACACGCTGGAGAGAGGCCCTGGAGGAGAAGCAGCCAGGGCTGAAGCTAACTCTCCCAGAAAAGCAGAACCCCAGGCATGAAGCCTGGGGACCAGGATCCACACCAAGCGGCTTCATGGGACTTACTATGTAATTCAGAGCTCTCTGCTCCCCAACTTTGATTTTTGATCCATATATAACTACCCTGCGGGGTTCAAACAGACGGCACCTCTATTCCGTAGAATGCCAGCTTCACCTAAATGTTAGGGGTTAATTAGATTATCTACTTGGGGGCGGGGGATCCATCTTTCATTGTCAGTCTAAATTCCCTTGCAGCTCTAAAAGTTTTTGCCACCATTATGACAGTTGTGTGAGAGAAACGCGGCTGCTTCACATTCATCAACGAGTACATAAGAGCGCCCTCTGGAGTTCCAAACGGACCTGCGATGTGATGCCTTGAAGGCTGTGGGCAGTGGAGGAGCCCTGGACACTACCCCCATTCCCCCACCCCCACCTCCCCCGCCCTCCGCAGCTCCCCCGCTCCCCCCAACCCCCGAAAGACCGTAAAGCTCTCAAGCCTTAGCCACTTGCTCTCTTTCTCCACTGAATGCTGCTAAGCAAAAGAAGAAAGGTGTTCTTTGGACCGATTTAATCGAGTTCTGCAGAGCTGTTCTATAGAGTGCCCTCAGAGAAGGTTAAGAACACGCGTGTATTCATGACTGCCACGTGAATGTGAGAAGTCATTACCGTCCAACGCACTGGCAATTCATTCACACATTGCAAGGGCACTTTTAAAAGGTAGTTACATAAAAAAGAAAATTGAAAACCACCAAATTACACAGGACAGGTTCCCTGCCACCCAACTAGCTGTGGTTATCTTGTTTTCCCAGTCTTTATGCTAACAAAAGGCTCGTGTTCCTTGGCAGTTATCAGAAAAGGGCAGTAATTTTCTTTTCACTTGCACATAAGCCATCTCGTTCACTGAGATTTAAGGAGATTTATTTCTATAATCTAGAAGCTATTCGGCGGATCTGATAAGAGCAGTTTCTTTACAATGTGACACGGAGAAACCGCCTTTAAAGGGTCATTGTGGGGATACTTCTCATAGGGAAGGGACACACCCTGTGTGCTACAGTTAAATGGAAGAAGTTCTAAGAAGACAGCATGCACACAATCCAAAGGCCTTCTAAAAAATGCATTATATAAGCCGGGGTGGTGGTGGCCCATGCCTTTAATCCCAGCACTCAAGACTCAGAGGCAGGAGGATCTCTGAGAGTTCAAAGCCAGCCTGGCCTACAAAGTGAGTCTGTGACAACAAGGACAGCCAGGGCTGTTACACACGCAGAGAAACAACGAAACAAATAACAATGCATTATATTTTCCCTACACACAAAAGAATTTGGGAATGCATTTTAAATAGAAACCTCTTCCAAACCAGAGTCCCACACTCCTTTCACTGGTTTAAGAACCCGTCAAAACATTCATTGTCAAACATTTAATACAACACTTGAAAATACTGATGGTTGGTTCTGATTTAGTTGGGTAATAAAAAGTTGGAAGTACAAACCTGAAGTTGTACAATGAATAGTAAAACTTCACGGCTCCTAAGATGCCATGTGACATCAGAAAATGCCTCTTGAGTTTAGCAGTAGAAGCGCTGGGATGGACTTTGCTTTTATTCTTCCCAAAAACACCTGTACTGAGTCCCTGCCAAACACCAAGCCCTTTCCTAACTAGCATTGCTGAGCAATAACTTTGGGTAAAACAGACATCATCATTGCTGTCACAGAACTTGTGGGACATGAAAAACTTCCCATTTAATTATAATTATAGTAAGTACCACAAGGCAAAGAACAAGGTGTAATTAGAAAATGACAGGAAAAGACTAATGCTGAGCCAGAGGACTTCAAGCCTCCCTGAGGAAGCGACATTTAAACTAAATGTGGCACATGAGTTAGACAGGCAGGTAGGGGTCAAAGGGCAAGGCAGGGTAGTATTCGAGCAGAGAACTTGGCAGTGGCAAGCAAAGACTTTAAAACAGAGCATGTGTGAATGTCAGAAGGACAGAGTGGTCCAAAGGGTTAGAACATGGTGGACAAAAGCTCAGTGGGGTGGAGGGGACATGGGGTCACATCACACAGATCTGGACAGGTTCGGGGGTGAGTTACTAGGCACGAGAGGATTTTAAGTACAGGGCTGAGATTATTTTTATTGAGTGGCCACTTCAGCTTCAATATGGAAACAGGATGAAGAGAAAGGGGTAAGAAACCTTGCAGAAGGCCACAGTAGGATGGGAAGAGGCACTTGGCATGAAGACTTAGTGAAATGGGATCCGCCAGAGTCTGGATCTCTACGTGCAGCAGAGGTTCACAGAAAAGCACTTGGCCCCAACCTGTGGTGCTGTTGGGGCTGGGGGGTTAAAAGGGAAGGCCTGGTGGGAGGAAGTCAGATCATGGGAATGTGTTTTAAAAGGGGGGTTGGAGCCCCAGACCCCTGCTTTCCCTAACCCCTCAGCCAGCTTGGCGGCTTCTGTGCTCTCCAACATGATGTGTTTCCTCTCCACAGGCCCAAAGCACAGAACCCACAACCCTTAGGCCTGAATCCCCTAAACACAAGAGCCAAACTGTACCCTCTTT